ATAAATTAATATACCCTTTTATATGTATAAAATTTTCTATGTGTTACTATTAAAAAAAAAAAAACTTCCAAAAAATGAATGTACCCTTTTGTGTATAAAATTTTCTATACATGTGTTCCTATAAAAGAAAAAAAAACTTGCAATAAACTAAGTTTGTTTATTGCACATTCTCTTGAGGGGAGGTATAAAAATTTTATTTTTATTATTTTTAAAATGTTAGAATTGTAAATGTATAATCGTTTCTGTTTTTTAATACACATTCTTTTGAGATAAATGTATTTTTATGAAGGCGAGACGATTTGTATTAAAAATTGCTACAATTGTACATCTTTATCGGCTCAGCGGTTAAAACTCGCCAAAAGTTTTGAAGGATCCATTTCCAGTTTTTTGAAAATTTTTCGTATATATTGTCCAATGGGAGATGTGGCCTCAAGCTCTAATAATATCCCGAATAGTGGGGCAGAGTTGAGCCGAATTTTTAAAATGAATAGAGTTCTGGTCAGTAGATACGGAGACAATTTTTTTTTTACAGAAAGGGGACAAGGCAGGTCGTCAACATCAAAGAAGGCATTTGTCATCAAGAAGAGAACATCAAAGAAAGCACCAATTACCAGCCAGCCGCGGAGAGGCCAAAAGTTCAAGGGAAAATTCTCCTGTGGTTGGACAGCCAAAACGAAAAGATTTTTGAGAAATTTTGCCACGCATGAACTGTGTGAAATTAAAACTAAAAGGGAACTTTAAAAAAGATTACTTTGTCCCAGAAATGCACTAGGGGCAAGTGAAAGTGAAAGTGAAAGCGAAAGTATAATTTTTTTTTTTTTTTTTCAAAGGCTGTTGAACCTTTGTTGGTTTACTGTTTCTTGTATTGTTTTCTATTGTTGTCATTTTCAAATCATTGTCTTTTCCCAAGCTGTAATCTTTTCTATCAGAAAATTGTTATCCTGCCGTAATAGGAAACTTGTATTGTACCATTTTTCGTAATTGTAAAATAGATTTGTTATTAAATTTTATGCAGTGGTCGTTTTGTTTTGTAACTTTGCGTCTATTATTATATCTTGGTATTTCTACTAAGTTTTTGTGTTTGGTACAAGAACTTGGATTTGGTTGGAAACAAATTTTTATATTCAAGGAAAATACAGATTCGAACGTGCCTCGCATATAAACTATCGAAGAAGGAAAAAAATGGCGGCTTCCAGGATTATACTTTTAAAACAGATAGGTCTCGGAGTCAGATGCTCTCTCTCGCGAGATTATCTTTTCACATATGTAAAAATGTTGGCTGTGAATGAGGAGATAAAAAAAACCTGGGAGAACAAGGCGACAGGCAACACTTGTTGCGGTCAGGATACTTCCCTGGCACTTGTGCTTCGGCCCTTTTTCTGGGGGGGGGGTATCATGGCTACGACTAGCTTGGACCGGCTCGGGTCTGGACCAGATATATAGAAACCAAGATCAGCTATGACTAGCTTAGACCAGCTCTGACCAGCTTGGACAAGCTAAGACCAGCTTAGACCAGCGGCCCGAGTGAAAAAACTCGGGTCCCCACGTTAAAAACCAACCTTGTGTCACAACCTGACTCAGTGGGGGGTCAAGTAAATATCCACTTGTTGCGGTCAGTAGAGTGTTTGTGGGGAAACAGATTGCGGGAAATGTTTATAAGCCAGAAGAAACGAACAGTTTAAAACTTTTTCTCTAATTTAACATTGAGCACTGTTTTTTCTTACACTACAAAGTATATATATATATATATATATATATATATATATATATATATATATATATTGTGTATATTTAGGCAGCATATTTTCATTCAAACAGGTTTGTTTAAATAATTTAGAGACATATGTCCATAAGTTTTCGTTGTGATCCTTTCAAGTTCGTGGATTAATTTTTTGGTAGACTTGTGGGGTTCAGCGTACCCGGATTAAAGGAGAATTTAATACGGTATACCCTGCCCACAAAATACAACGCAAATTTCAAGAATGAACAACACGATAAGGAACGTTTATAGAAAATAGAACATTGTATATTTATTATCTTGTGAATAGGGTAAAAAAAGATTAATGCTTTAGTTCGTTTAAGCAAAAATGCGATTTTGATAAAAATGTCCGTGTTCGCTGTCTTTTAACAGAGTAGCAGAGTAATGTCTGTTTCTTTTGTTTTTGTATAGGTGTAAAGGAAAAAGGGGCGATCAATTTAAGTTGAAAAAAGAGAGTGTGAATGAGGAATAAAGATAAAAGGAAAATGTACTTATGAATTGTTTTGGAGTTAGTTGTAAATTTGTTGTTATTGTTGTTGTTGTTGTCCTTTCCTAATCCACTTTCGGCTCTTAGTGTCGGGTTGAGTCACTGTCAGTCGTCTATGATCTCTGCGCCCTTCTGACTCCGCGACTGACTTGAAACTCTGTATTTATTGTTGACTTTTTTTTTCACACTGGCTCGTTATCTTTTTTTGGATTTAGCAAATCGCCTCCTTTCATTGGTCAAAAAATTAATTTCACACCTTATTGCGAAATCTGTTTTTAATCGTTTTGATCCGATTTTGCGGGTGTGCAAATCTACTTTGTGTTTTTTAATCACTTGTTGGAATGATATAGGATTTGTATCCTATAAACCCCCCTGCAGATTGATAAATATTGAAAATATTTTTCAATATCTAATATATGTTTTAAAATGAGTAGACCAGTGTACGTGTCTACCCGATCTTGTGGTAATGTTTTTAGGTGTGTTTGGAGGTGTAGAAAATGTTTCACTTACGTTGGTATTTGTCTCGGCTGTAGAATGTTTCGACGTACTTTCCTTTGTAGGTAAATCCAAGTACGCTGGTTTTAGTCTGTCTATAGAGACAGTGTCTTGCTTGCATTTGCTACAATTGTGAAATATTTGGGTTTTCTGTTGACTACTTGGAAAGGTCCCGTATAAGTAGGGCAAAGAGGCCTTTTTACTGTGTCGTTTCGTACGAAAACATATTCACAATTGTGGAGGTCTTTTGGAGTGTAAAGGTCTTTTGTTTGTGTTCTAGGGGGCGTGAAAACTAGTTCATTCATTCTTTGCTTAAATCTTTGTACAAAAGATGTAGTTGGTTGGAGTTGACTGGATTTATCACAGAACTGTCCTGGCAACGTCAAGGACGTTCCAAAATCCATTTCGGATGCTGTACATCCTAAATCTTCTTTGATTACGTTCCGGATGGATAATAATATTAGCAGTAGATTTTCTAACCACGTCTTGGTATCATTATTTGCAGTTAATGCTGTCTTAAGTTGCCTGTGGAAACGTTCAATTAAGCCATTGGCACATGGGTGATAAGCCGTTGTTGTTATATGCTTAACTCCCAATAGTTTTGTGAACTCATCAAAGAGCGTAGATTGGAACTGAGAACCTCAGTCTGTAGTTATTACTGAGGGACAACCAAAAACGGCAATCCACTCATGTAATATACTTTTAGAGATCGTTTCTGCAGATATATCCCTTAGAGGAGCAACGACAGGCCATCTTGTGAATCTGTCGATAATAGTGAGTAGGTAACTATGTCCGTTTACTTCTGGTAAGGGACCCACTATGTCAATGTGAAGATTCGTGAATCTACCATCTGGTTTTAGAAAATGCCCAGGAGGGGACTTAGTATGTCTGTTTACTTTGCTTTTTTGGCACTTTAAACAAGTTTGAGTCCAGCGTTTTATGTCAGTATGCATGTTTGGCCAGACAAAACGACTGCTAATCAACTTGTCAGTTGCTCGGTGTCCGGGATGTGAGAGATTGTGAAAATGCAGAAATATCTTTTTTCTCAATCAAAGTGGAATGTATGGTCTTGAATAACCAGTCCCAACGTCACAGAGTAGTGTTTTTGTTCCAAATGGGACGGGGTGTTCATTCACTTGTAAAGAAGTGTCCTCTTTTATTTTGTATAATGTGGTATCTTCCTTTTGTTCATCTGCAATGAGGTCGAAGGTAAGGGTTTCAGAATCGATGGATTGTATTGTGGAGCGCGTGAGTGTATCTGCCACGATATTTTCTGAACTTTTAATATAGCGGATATCCGATGTAAATTGGGATATGTAGTCCAGTTGTCGGGTATCTCTGGGTGTGTATTTATCTGTGTTCACATGTAAAGCGTAAGTGAGGGGTTTGTGGTCTGTGAAAACAGTAAAGTTTCGGCCCTCGAGCAGATGTCGAAAATGCCTTATTGCTAAGTAAATAGCTAGTAACTCTCTCGAGAAGGTACTGTACTTCTGCTGTGCTTTGTTTAATTTGACCGAGAAGAAGGAGATTGACTTTTCTGAACCATTTAGCTTCTGATGTAGAACTGCTCCAATTGAATCTCCTGAGGCATCAGTTGTCAATGTAAGTGTTGAGTTAGCATCGTCACTGATGTAAGAGAGCTTGGTAAAATCTGCTAACGCTTTTTTAGCATTTTGAAATGCAGCTAACGCTTCTCCGTCAATCATTATTTTTGCATTTTTCTTCTTCTGTTTTTGCAGCAAGTTTGTGAGTGGGGTCAAAATTCTGGAACAACCTGGAATAAATCTACGGTAGTAAATTATTAAACCGAGAAATCGTCTTAAATGACGCAGTGATGTCGGGTGCTGAAAGTTTTGTATTGCTGCTACTTTCTCTGGGACAGGTGTGATTCCGTTTTTGGCCCAAGAAATTTAACTTTGAAACAGCAAAATCGCATTTGTGGACATTTATCTTTAAGCCAAAATGTGCCAGTCTCTCGAAGACTTGTTGAATATGGTATAGGTGTTCTTTTCCATCACGACTGGCGATAAGCACGTCATCGATATATGCAAAGGTAAAAGGCAATCCTCTCAAAACTTCATCAATGAGTCTTTGAAAGGTTTGGGCGGCATTACGTAACCCAAATGGCATCCTGGTGAATTCATAGAGTCCAAAAGGAGTGGTAATTGCAGTTTTTCTTTGTGTCTTCTTCTGCTACTGGAATTTGGTAGTACGCCTTAACCAAATCCAATTTTGTAAAAACTGGTTCCTTGCAAACCTATGGCGAAATCATGTAAGTGCGGTATAGGATATCTATCAGGAACAGTTTTTGCATTGAGATTCCTAAAATCCCCACAAGGTCGCCATGCGCCAGCTTCTGGTTTCGGAACCATATGTAGCGGAGAGGAGTATGGGCTATTTGAAGGACGTATGATGCCTAACTGCAACATGTGTTGAAATTCGTCTTTTGCTATTTTATATTTGTCCGGATGTAATCTGCGTGGTGATGCGTGTGTAGGTGGTCCAGCTGTGGTGATATAATGTTTAGCAGTGTGACGGATTTCATCTGTATGTGTTAACGGCGTGGTTAGTGTAGGAAATTTTTTTATCAATTCATGTAGGCCATTAGCCGTTGGTATTGCTGAACTAATTCCTGTTGATTTGTAGATTGAGGTGATTCCCTTTGTTCTTAGGTTTGTATTACTGTCAATGAGAGAGTGTGTAGCCATATTCACTGATAAATCGAAATGGGATAGGAAATCCGCTCCTAGGATAGGTGTTTTCACATTTACTTGTGTGAAAATCCATGGAAAAGATCTTCTTAGACCCAAATCGAGCGTTAGTGATATCTCACCGTATGTTTCTATCTTTGATCCATTTGCAGCCTGTAATGTGTATGTGGAGAATGTAGGTTTTTGTTTTGCATTTGGTGGGATAACACTGATCTGAGCGCCGGTGTCGACTAAAAATAAATATCCGTTACTTCTGTCCCGGATGTAAAGTAGACGACTCTCTTGTTTTAATCCAGCAGCTAATGTCGTCTTTACTTGCTGCCGGCACAGTCGTTTCCCTGGTGTTGTGTAGAAATGTGAGAAGTTTACGAATTGAAATTGCATGGTTCAGTGCACTTCCTTGCATTTCTTCCAAATTTATAATGATGCCAACAGGTATCGTGTGTAATTTGATCTCTGGAGAAAGAGTTCGATCTATTTCGATGTCTGTGTAGTGAGTAGGATCTATTTCTGAATGTTGGACGAGAACGCCGAGATTTCTGTGCTTGTACCAGACTCTGTACTTGTAAGCTGAGATTCGCCATTTGCTTAAACAGCTGCGACAATTCAGATGACTTGTCTGGTAATGTTGCTGTATCTGTTGGTGCATGTGATGTGGCGTATACATTTTTGTCTTGGTTGTTGTCATGTATTTTGTCTGCTATTTCTGCTATTTTCTCCAGCTGTAAATCACCGGGGAGTGATGCGAGTATCTGTGTTGTATGTGTTTGTAGTTTATCCATCCACGGTTTCTTTAACACCACTTCGGACATGGTGTTGTCTCCTAATAAGGATCGCATTTTTCTTAAAAGCTGTGAAGGTTTCATATATCCCTGGTTCACATTATTGAATAAGTCGTGTAACCTTCTTTCCTCTGATTTACCGACACGTCTAATAATTGCAGCTTTCAATGTGTCATAAGGTTTTTCTTCCAGCATGTCATTAAGTAGATAAAAAAGATTAATGATTTAGTTCGTTTAAGCAAAAATGTGATTTTGATAAAAATGTCTGTGTTCGCTGTCTTTTAACAGAGTAGCAGAGTAATGTCTGTTTCTTTTGTTTTTGTATATGTGTAAAGAAAAAGGGGGCGATCAATTTAAGTTGAAAAAAGAGAGTGTGAATGAGGAATAAAGATAAAAGGAAAATGTACTTATGAATTGTTTTGGATTCAGTTGTAAATTTGTTGTTGTTGTCCTTTCCTAATCCACTTTCGGCTCTTAGTGTCGGGTTGAGTCACTGTCAGTCGTCTATGATCTCTGCGCCCTTCTGACTCCGCAACTGACTTGAAACTCTGTATTTATTGTTGACTTTTTTTTTTCACACTGGCTCGTTATCTTTCATTGGTCAGAAAATTAATTTCACACCTTATTGCGAAATCTGTTTTTAATCGTTTTGATCCGATTTTGCGGGTGTGCAAATCTACTTTGTGTTTTTTAGTCACTTGTTGGAATGATATAGGATTTGTATCCTATAGACTTAGAAAATTGAGTTAGAAAAATACCAAAATTTTCTTTCGAATATTTTTTATTTTCCCAAGTACTTTCAATCTCATCTGAGACCATCTTCAGGGAGTTAAGTTGTCTGTGAGTAATTATATGCGTTTCTGTGAATTTAAAACATTTCAACTGTTCGTTTTTACTGCTTATGCAGCATCCTAGATTTCGAAGTTCAAAGTTCAAAACAACTCTTCTCCGCCAAGTAGTATCTTGCAAAAGGTCAACATTGTATATCAATTTAAATATCCTTTAGGAGATTGCATCCATGATGAAAATATCAACACGTACGTTGGCTTTACTACGACGATGCTAACAAAAAGACTGACATTTCATTTGGCTGCACATAACTCAAAATATCAGCATTTAAACTTTAAAGGAACACACATGCCCACACTCACAGATTAGACGGATATTAGTTGAAAATACACTTATATCACATAAAAACAATAACAACTAAAACTAAAAATCCTTGAAGTCCTTTAATTAAGAAACTTAAATCCCCTGAAAAATTAAGTCAATTATGGGTATAGCAAAAAAGTCCTTACATGCTTATGAAGAAAAAAAAATTATATACGTATGAGCAAAAAGAAAAAAGTTACTTCCCTTATACTAGAAAAAAATAACCCCGAAAAGGAGCGAACGAGTGGAGCGAACGATTACACAACGGTTCGTCTAAGAAGTATTTGAGTGGGGGTGCTGAATATAACACCAATCAGCCAAATGGCATTTTAAATTTGTATTAATCTTATATATGTGTGTTTGTCTGTGCGTGTGAAATACAACTAAAAGGTTTGTCACTTAGGCGATTGATGTTACCTTGAGCACCTAGACTCCAATATTTTCTAGATGGAACTTCCGGGAATCCCTCAATCCACTCGTCAGGGGATATCAGCAATTGACTGCTTATACTGATTTTTTTTATATGCACTTTTCATTGGTGTAAGTCTTTTTTTTTCATAGTTCGCGCGTATCTGCGCACAGGTATGTGGTTATTTGTCCTTTTCGTCGTTTTTTTTTTTTTTTTTTTTTTCACTTTACAGTACACTCACTCCTTAACCTTTTTTCGATCCTCTTTTCTTTCAATTGTAGCCATTCTGACTTCCGGTTTTCTAGGGATAATGGTTAATTTTATCTAACAAAAGTAAAAAAGAAATATTGGAACATTATTTATATAAAAATTGGACACTATTTAAATAATAAAAAAAGAAAAATGTTTTGGAAAATTAATTTAGTAGATTAGTATTCTTTGGAGCATTCTTACGTCGTGACATATGTCAGAAACGATATTTTTTTTTTTATCATTTTAGAATTTGGGTGTCTTTTATCATATCGATACAATGTCAAATTGATCCCTGACTTTTACAGAGTTATTTAACCTAAACTTCTTTGTAGTAGGCAGTCATCTGCTTATTTTTGTTGTCACAATTTTCAAGAACAAAAGAAAATGTATAACTTCACTTTCATATGTTTAGCTTTTATTACAAATCTAATTATCGGTTTTTAAAACAATAAACATTGCCGAAGAATGAAGGTAGTTAAAAATAAAAGTAGTGTTAGTTATAGGAAAACCATTCTTTTGCCACTCGGGTTTTTTTTTTTTTTGGCGGACACGAAAGTCCATGTTTGCCAAATTAACCTTATTTTTACAAATGGATCAGAGTATTTAAGTGCTAAAAATTGTTTGCATACTATCTAGGAATGGATAAGTGACAGTGTAAAAATAGTTATTTGTAAACAAAAACTAATTTTAAGTGAAATAAAAAAATAAAACAAAAGATTTTAAAAATTGAAAATAAAAATCATACTTTTATGCTTATTGATATATTTTTACTTTTTTTAACTCCTAGCTTCACTAGCTCGAAAAATTTACTACTTGTGCACATGTTTGACCTCACGATTGTCGGATTTGTAATATTCAGTGTGTACTTCTAAGTATGCGAGGAAAATACGGCTCTTAATTAATAAGGAACTATTTTGGTTGGCACCGTTTTGTTGTTTCCCTTGAACTCAAACTGAAACGAGGCAGATAAGATAAGAGACACACAAAAAAAAAAAAGCAGAGAAGCCCAGATTCTGTTTCTGAGATCAGTTAAGTAAAAATTAAAAAATTCATTTTCATTTATTTTTTTGATTTTTATATTAATGACCATCCTCTTATTATCGGCCTGATCGTTCGTATGGATTGGAGTATATATATATATTTTTAATTCCTATTTATAGACTTTAATGATCTTCTTACAGTAGTTCGTACTTAAAACAACTTTACGTCATTGTTGGGACTTTTATTTAAAAAGAGAAGTAAAGAAAAACATATTGGAAATAATTAATTTTTATTTCAATTGTGTGTTTTGTTGTTTGAGGACCTTTATATAAGTTTTATCTGCTTATTTGTTTCTGGGATTCGTTTTAAAAAGATTAGGTTAAAAACAAACCAAATAAAAAAAAAATTGTTATCAGAAAAATTATAGAAACGTTGGTAATTATTTTATTAAATGTTGAATTTTTATTTTTAAAAATACTGTGGAGTTTTATTGAAGCTTTTACTACAGTTTTTAAAATAAAACACCATTTTATGGGAAATCGAGCATTTGTAAAATTTATGTCTTCACTTTGTTGAATAAGTTTATTTTATTTTATTTTTTAATTGTCTGTGTCACTTTTAAAAGAATTTTTTTTTAATTTCACTTTTCTTCTCCAAGTGGCACAGACAACAAAAACATAAAAATGATAAACTCCCTGTGTCAAAAGTAAAACTCAATGGCTGGTAATTTTTTTTTATTCTTTTTTTTCTGTCTAGAAAACTGGGAAAAAACTATCTTTAGCTTTTTGCTTTTTTCCGACAGAGATATTTTTCAAGACCGGGAAAAAATTACGATCCACTGAGGGTAGTATTAAATTATTTAATTTAAAAAAAAAAAAAAAAAAAGAAAAATGGAAAAAAAATGAAAGTAAGTTTTTTTTTTAAAATTTTTTTATAGATTTTTAAATGATATATATATTTTAAACTTTGATGTGATTGACAAGGGAGATTATCAAAAAACACTCAACAAACTTAGTTTTGTTATGGTGAGATTTTCAAATTCAAATTCTTTTTTATTATGGATAAAAATGTTATGGTTGCACATTTCAAAATCACTAAAAGCCAACGATCAACAAAGAAAATGTTTAGATGTTATTCTACGCTAAAAATTGGTATAACACTTCTCTCATTAAAAATCTTAATAATGAGAATAATATAGCGTATTTAGGAATCGGAGAGCCGAGTTCAAATTCACGTTGAATCGATTACATTCACTTACCCTCTTCTCCCCTCCACCGCAGCTATGGGTAAATAGCAGGACAGATCTTGGATGACAACTGGTCTACTGCAGAAAGAAATGGCAACCTACTGTGGGAAAAAAATCTGCATCGCCTAAGCATGTATCAAGTATGGCACATAACTGAATAATGAGAGAGATAAAGTCATGTCCCTTAAGATTGTATGTGATCGCGACTCTCCACAGCTTCCTTTACTTTAATACCTGAAAACTGCATTGCCATAAATTTTCTGGGGAAAATAGTAAACTGGTTTCACTGTTTGAAATTCAGCATTGCCCTTCTTCTAGACTGCTTGTCAGCTTAGTCTACTTCAGCTCTATACTTCTAATGTCTCTGACTGAGCTCTGAAATTTTATTTATTTTTTTCTTCTTTCCCAATAGGAGTAGATATGTTCGCCTATCATTTGCTTCACAATCCTTCCTGGTCTTTTGAACAGGAGTAGAGGTTTATCCCTTGTTCCCTGTTTAAGATTAGGTGTCTGGTTCTTTCTCAAGTCAGCTTCAACTCTATACTTCTAACATCTCTGCCTAAACTCTGTAATTTTATTTACTTTTTATTTTTTCCTCAATAGGAGTGGATAGGTTTGCCTATTGTCTGGTTCACACTCACATGGTCTTTTGAACAGTTTCCTGTTTTAAGTCCAGAATCAGCTGATATCTATCCTCGTAATACTCTTACTTCCCCCTCCTTTAAAATCTCACTCGGTAACCCTCTACCTTGCATGGCTCTTAGGCTTTGTGTGAACTATAAGTAAAAATATATACCTTTCTTTACTTAAATTCCAAATTTTCGACCCGTTAAATGATTTTCTGCGCTGACTTGTTTTTAAGACTGCCATTTATTGCATATCAAGAAAAATTCTGATCCTCAAATTCTTAGGATATCCCTTTTATTATAAAGTCCGTTCGCTATACACACTCTTACAGTATGTATATTGAATAGATAAAGTCTTTCTGAAGAATTTGGAAAGTGGATATTATAAAGAACTTTTCAACACCCCAAAAACTGTTATGGCCCATTTGTTTTACATGAAGCAAGTTGTAGAGTAATTGGCCATGGTTAAATGTAATTGGCAGAAATGCCCAACAAACAGAATTAACAAACATTTCGGCTGTTGTATGCTCTGGCCTTCTTCAGGTGATTGGAATGTCAAACTGAACCCTTTATTTCGCTCACTGGGGTAAACTGTTCTAGTTCCACGTGCCATGTTTAATGAATGTCAGTTATCTCCTGTTAATTTCCCTCTGAAAGTTCTCCACTGCCTTACCTGGGTATTGAACTCACACTCTTTGAGTCCTATCACTGGATCTAACTAACGCCTTTATCCACTGTGCCATGTGTCCTTGAGGAAAGGTGACAAAGATGAAGACAATAGTCCGAATAATGTACATAATACCTTATCTCAGAAATATAGACAGATATAGAATTAACAAAGTTTGCTATAAACAATAACAAGAGAAAGAAAAGAACAGAGCAAAAAATAATATTAAGGAAGCAAACAATATATGCAAGGCAAAACAACAGTAATAAGGCAAAAAGTTCACAAACTAAGAATGTTCTTAACACGCAGACATTATCTATTTGGGGCTTTTGATATAGACAAGTGATTGCAGTGTTCTAGCTTCAAGATATAAAAGAACGTAAGTTGGAGGAGACCAAGGAGTGCACGCTGACCTGGGTTGGTAGCAATTGTTAGGGTCCCAGCTATAATAGTGAACCCCCAAATAAGAATCAACAGTACATTTTTATAATAAAATGAGCAACAATAGATTTTTATTGCAAAATGATAACCAGTGCAACACTAAAAAATATAAAAATACCAACAATACATTTTATGATCTACAAAATAGATGCCTAAGAAAAACATACCTGTACTCTGAATGTATAAAATTATGCACAAAATATCTGTAGTTGAAAGCATAAAATTACTTACAAAATATGTAGATTTTGGCATTAAATAACCCATAGAAGGTGACATGCAGTTAAACAAAATTAACAGACCAACTGAGAACTGGCCTATTTTATTGGCTAGGAAGAAATCCCAGCATGCATCTGTGTGGTTTGCCTATAGATTTGTGTAGAGGGAAGTTTTTGTAGTCATTCCTAAGAAAATGGAACCAACACATATGACAGAAAAGATTCAGAGAATCTGTCATTCATAAAACATCAGGACAGAATTCAAAAGCAGTTCCATCTCATCAGTGTCAAGGTTCCATTGGAAGAGAACATGACTAATGTGTTTCATTGTTTCTGCTGGCCTTCTTCAGGTATCTGTAGTAATTGACATAACCATTCACCAATTTCAAACCAAACACTGTTCACCCTGTTGGCTGGGGCTTCAAAAATATCCTCAGGCATGGACAGAGGGGTAAGACTCTCACCACCCCAAATGAGGCATCCTGGGTAAGATGATAAACTACATATAACAGCAAGGCCTCTGATCAGGAGGTTTTGAGGAGGATTGATCCACTTCTTAATTGCTGGTGTTCCCAGGTCCACCTTGACCTGGAGTGGTAGCACCTAACAGGTGCTACCAGCCTGGCTCATACTACCACTATGAGCAAACTCCGGCTCATACTACCACTATGAGCAAACAAACCCCAGTTCATACTATCACTATGAGCAAACCCTTGCTCATACTATCACTATGAGCAAATAGTTAACCCCAGACTGATGTCAAAACACTATGAAAGTGTAAAAATAGGTTTTAATACCAGCAATACATTTTTGTAAAAATTATTACTAGTAATGAATTTTGAAGAAAAAATTATTACCAGCAATATATTTTTAAAAAATATTACCAGCAATAAAAATCTTGTCAGCATTAAAAAACCCATTGAGGTTGATATGCCACAAAACAAACCAAACACTGTATTCAATTCATGAAGATCGTAGTTTTGGGTATGACAATACATCCATCAGCAAGGCCTCTGATCTAGAGGTTTTGACGACCATGGAACCAGCTCTTAATTACTGTTGTTCCCAGTTCCACTTTGACCTGGAGCAGTAGCACCTGTTAGGATCTCAGCTATGGGCAAATTGTGAACTTACAAACAAAAACAAGACTATGAAAGTATAACAATACCAGTAACACATTTTTAAATAAAAAAAAAATTACCAGCAATACCTATTTATAGCAGAATTAACAACAATACATTTTACCTGTAGTTGAAGCTATAAGATTACCCCAATTCAACCATTATTTGAATTCTGTTGTCCATGCTTGAGGATATTTTTGACTTTAAATGATTTTCTGATCCTATTTTTATTAAAGTCTCTCCGCTTTATGGTATATTGAGAGAAAAAGTATATATAGTAAACAGACATTTTTTTCTAAAAGATTGTACATTATTTCTGTTAAGATAATCTATTATATAATAATTACTGTGTCATATTTATTTATATTAGTTTTAACTTGTGAAAATTTCACAGTTTTCCTACTTTAATTTTCCGATGAATCTTAATTCATCGGAAAATTAAAGTCGTTAATGATTAACTAAGCTCATTACAAGTTCTATGACAATAAAATATCCGTAGAAATTCCTTTATCACATCGTTAAATGTTTGAACTTAACAACTTATTGCCATAACAATCATAAATATGAATGTTGGTCATTATTTTAAGAAGTAAGGGGGTACAAATGAAAAAAAATTTGAAATTGACGACTTTTTCCATTCATTGAAACCGACATTAAACACTTTTGTCTTCTCCTCTTTTTCATTTTCTCTTCAAAAGCAAATTGTATATATGATGTCTTTGTCTTCTCACTCAATCTAAACGGAAGAGTCTATTATTTATGAGGAGATGTTAAACACTTCTATATATATCTATCTTCTTTCTTTTTACTGAAACCAAGTAGCATCTCTGATATGTCTTGTCACATGATCCAAATGGAATAGTGCATTATTTAAATGTATTGGCACGCTGTAACAATTGTGCAAACTAACAAAGGTAAAGACAAGCACAGTTGTAAGATCTTTTTTGTTACGCCATATAGTGGCAAGGGAGGTAAATCAATTTAAGATAGTAAATTTATGAGTTGTTATTTCCCTTAGTCATTTTTATAACCTATACAAATAACATCTTTAAACAAAATTAATTTCTGAGCAGAATAAACTGTTTAATTAATGTTCTTTAGACTGCAGTCTTATTCGTTCAAGACTTTCTTGTGAGGTACTCCGATACCTTTGTCTATTAAGAGATCGTCTAGCTTCAACTTGGTCTTGAAATAGGCTTTTTTTGTCACTGTCTTTGTTCTATTGCTAATCTTTTTCTTTTGAGAGGTGTTTCCATTTCAGTTACTGTTTTATTAAACTTGTAATATCTTTACCATGAGAAGATACTGAGCAAAAAGCAATTTGTATAATGTCAAGAGTAATCAATGAATCATAGATACAATTGACTGCCAAAAAAATATAAAGGTAATGGATTAATTAAATGGTTCATTCTGGATTTCTGCTTTATTGGACCAGAATACCTTGTTTTAAAACTTGTTTGTTTTTTATTTTGTCAACTGCACAGTATAGTAAGGTCAGTTAGGCAACATCTGTGTAAAAACAGCGCCATGACACAAATCACTCCGCCCAAAATTTGAAAACGGCATGCTGTACTGCTTGGCATTCATGCTGGAAGCACCAATACAAGCATTTCAGTGTTTGGGTACCAATCTGACAATAGTGAAGAAGATTTGGAAAACTTTGGATGAGTCTAATGGTGATTAAAAAAAAGGTACAGCATCTGGGAAAACTTACTCTGACCATTTTAATAAGAAAAGAACTTCTGAATTTGTTGGTGAGGGCCTCAAACTCAACAGAAGCCTACATCAAGTGCGTTAATGGGGTAGTGCTGCCCTGGTTCAAGAGGGTGGCTACTGGAAGACCCTATGTCTGGAACCAGGACCCTGCACTACCCAACAGAAGCAGGAGAACCCAGTCATGGCTGTCAGACAATTCCTGCAACTACATCACCCCATACATTTAGCCACCTAACTCCCCAGACTGCAACCCCCTTGATTTTTATGTTTGGGGTGCAGTTGAGTGAGAGACCAACAAAATAACACCAAAGATGAACTGAAAGCAATAATTATAGCAACATTCACCAACTTAAACACGGAGACTGTTTAGAAGAGTTGCAGGAGATTCCAAAGGTGTTTGGAGACCATGGTTAAAGCCAATGGCGATTTTATTGAATAAATTTATTCTTTAGTATTTCAAGATATTTTTGTGTAATTTTGGTAAATATATCTGCTAAAATGAGGTGTCAGTGTTATTTTCATATTTTTATAATTTAGACAACGATTTATCCATTGCATCCTGTACACTTGGGAAAGGTATCAGCCCCTCTCCTCTCCCCTATCTGTGGGACTACTATCTGGAAAATCCTTTTTATTTGCAAAATCTCTTAAAGCAATATCCAATCACAAAAAAAAATTGTCTTAAAATGTAAAATATTTTGGCTTTAAATAACACATAAAAGTGTTGCTAAGCCATAAAAATAAATCAATCACTAAAAACCTCACCTGAAGAGGAATTGGTATTTATGTATTTTTTTTTTTTTTTTTATTTATTCAGGAATCATTCTTGGATTTTTCTGTTGAGGTTTTCCGGCTATTTTTTTCTTGGAGACAAATACCAGTTACACAGTTTTTGGATGAAAATGCGGACCAAAGCAACAAAAACAAAATGTATTGAGAAGGATGAATCTGCACCAGCTCCGAAGGTGCTTAAGGTCGAGCCTTCACCAACAACAGAAACCGATGGTGGCGGTGGTGAAGGTGGTGGAGGTGGCAGCAGCAGCAGTAACAAAATTTGCCAAATGTGTGGCAAGGTCCATAACAACGATGACATTTTCAAATATCTCTCTGTCCTTCCAGAAGACGAGCGATACAAATGCCATTATTGCTCTGAGTCTTTTTCTTACAGCTGTTTATTTGCTGCTCATATACGTGCTTGCTCGAATGCCTACTCTTCCAACCCCAACAACAAGAAACCAAATTCTACCAACAATTACCCAACCACTTCTGTCAGTACGGTCACAACGGCTGGGAACGATGTCAAGAATATAGTTTCACCCTCTGTTACGACTAGCAACACCTCTTCCAATATTTACACTAAGTCAGACAAGATTGCCAGCACTATGGACACCAATGGCTACAGGTGTGAAGTTTGTAGTCGTATATTCACTAACCGTGTTGTCCTCACGAACCACATTGAGCGTATGCATGGGGGTAAGGGCCCAACTGAGTGTGAGTTTTGCCGCAAGAAATATTCGTCCGTGGTTGATCTCATTATGCACAAAAAGAGTCACGTTGGTATGGCAACATACCAATGCCAATATTGTGACCAACATTTCATGAATCGGTCGATGGTCACTGAACATGAACGTATACATACAGGAGATACGCCATACAGGTGTGAGTTTTGTAACCGAGGATTCTCTTACCGTTCTAACTTGATCGTTCATAAACGAATCCATGACAGCAAACGCAATCATTTTGAATGTGACCAGTGTGGCCAGACATTTCAGCATGGAGCTCAGCTGACCAGACACAAGTTGGTGCATACGACAGACAAACCTCTTGATTGTCGATATTGTGGAAAACGTTTTGTGATATACAACAAACTAATTGCACATATCAAAGAAGAACATCCCAATAAGTCATGAGCTTGATTTGTTTTTTCTTTAAATGTTTTTACATTGCATGTAAGTACATAGGTATACAAGTGCAATTTCTATGAATATGTGTGTAAATTATTCTATGAATTACACAAACTAGTATCTCTGTTTTTGTTGTTTTGATCCCCATATTATGTTCAGTATACTTTTTAACTTTTTTCATGTGTATGTTAAGATGTGTGGGTGGTCTGATGGATTATGGCTCGGAATAAGAAATCAGCTGAGTTTGTATTCCAGTCAGGTTCATTAGATTCATTTATGTGCAAATACCCTTGGGAAAGGTATGAATCCCTCTCCCCCAGCTATGGGTTAAATAGTAAGACAAATCATTATTATTATTCACAACAAATTGTTAATGCAATATTCATTCGCAAAAAAAAGAATTATTCTTCCAATCCAAAATGTTTTGGCTTCAAATAACTGGGAAAGAGTTTATAAACTGCCAAAAAAAAAAAAAAAAGATAAAAATAAAAAACAGAACGTATATGTTATAATTGTTTCCATTTCAGGGAACCTGCAATGGAATCCCTGATTTTATAAATTGAAAAGGGTGGTGGTCGGGTATCAAAGCAACAAAAGTACAAATTTAAATTTAAATAATTCATGGAATAAAGAAAAAATTGCATCCTAGAACTTTTAAATATATTTGACAGGTTTGTCAGTAAAAAAAAAAAACAAAAAAAACTTTACTTTTTATCATAGTCTACAAAAATATACTATACATAATATAGTATATTATGTATATAATATATGAGCATATTATACTAATATATATGAAAAATATGTAATAATATTTGTAAATAAAATACTAATATTCTGCATATATAAAAAAAATTATCCTTTCATTAAAAACAATATATTTACATGTAATGTACATAAAAGTTTTATTAAATAATTTGTCTTGCTTGCATAACCACTCAGCTATAGCTGGTCTGATTTTTTTTATTATGAATTAATGCTTTTTGTGGCTATGCCAGTAAGAATGAATTTGTATGGAACATATCCTAAATTAAAATTAAATATGAAAAACTATATGTATCTCTCTCTCTTGCTGGTGTCCCCCTTTTCCCTATGTGTACAGATAAATGAGAGGTGCACACACACACATACACTGATTGAGTTTTTATATATATATATATATATATATATATATATATATATATATATATATATATATATATATATATATATAATTTTCATGTATAAGCCGACCATTAACTCTTAAAAATTATCCCCCAAAATAGTGGGTTGTCTAATGGAACAGTTACATAAAGCTAACCTTATATTCTATGCTGTATCAACATGGTAAGTAGGCTAGTATGCTTCCACCAGGTGTTGCAATAGGCTGACAACTGCCTCGGTATGGTAACTACCGATGCAAATATTTCTGGTCGAAACACTTCATATTATAATGCTGTACTACATTTATAAATGTAATAAAACTACTTCTTGATTTCACATTAAAATGCAATATTCAAGGGATGATTATACAACAATTTGCAAAAGTTCCGCTGAGCAACACACACAAGTAACACATAACGTAAACAAGTCTTTTGTTCTTGATTTGTGGAACTATGTCTACATTCACACCAATCATTATTTCTCATAGTAGTGTTAGGACATTTAGGATAACATAATTTCGACTATATTTTCAGTCGTCTTATACTACAGATATAAGAGAAAATCACAAATTTACCTAGATTTTTGATAATGGCTTATTTATAGGTCCCCTTATATATATATATATATATATATATATATATTAAAAAGACTTGTATAACTGTTTCTCACAGTTTCATACACATGGCAGTTATTAGTGGCAAGGTCAGATAAATAAAATCATCAATAGTCCATTTCCAGAGGAAAAGAAATAAACATAACTATAATTAGCTATTTATATTAAATTTTTTTTTTCATTTCACCTCAAGCAGGGCAACAAAGCCACTAAGATGCAAGGGGTTACTGAGTGTGAAAGAATATAAGGAAGAGAAAAACACTATTAAGGAGTGAGAACAATAAAAGAACATAACTATTTACACTATTCACATTGTTTGGTCTGTTGTCTTCATCTTTATTGTCACATTCACGTTTTTTCAACTGTCAACCCGTTATTTAGTCCATGGAAGTAGCTTGTTCTAATTCCACGTACCATGCCTTTTTTTGGATAGCTCAGTTTTTAGTTAATTCCTCTTGATTACTCAACTCTCCAAGTTTTGTTCAAGGGAAATTGACTAAAAACAGAGATATCCAAAAAAGGCATGGTACGTGGAATTAGAACGAGCTACTCCTGTGGACTAAATAAAGGGTTTGGTTTGAAATTCCAAGAAATATCACCTGAAGAAGGCCAGAATGTACGACAACTGGAACAATGTGAATGTGACAATAAAGATGAGGACCAAACAATGTAAACTGTATAATCTCAGAAATATAGACATGCAATAGAACAGAAATTTAGAAGACAGAAGATAACGATTGACATTGCATTTAAATTATTTAAGGTAAAATTTGGCTGGAAAGTAAGAAGGCTGGAAGAGAATTCCACAAGTGAGAAGTGCAATGGAAGAAACTGTTAGCATAGAACATATGGTTACATCTAACCATATCAACTTTAAAATGATGAGACCTAGCTGCCAATCTAGTACTGCGCTTAATTTCATAAAGTCTATGTACAAAAGAGGAAAGTTTATCAGAACAATTACTATGAAAGTAATTATAGAAAAGACAGAGGGTGGCCATGTTATGGCAGTGGGGAAGTTTTTCTATGGAAATGGACTATTGATGATTTTATTTATCTGACCTCCCCACTGATGATGGTCATGTGTATAAAACTGTAAGTAACATTGAGCTGTGAAGAACAGTTATATAAGTCTATTTAATATAAATTTTAGCTCTGTTACTTTCTATCAAGCACTGCTTAACTTTCAACACCCTGCATTATTAATATTACTTCCCACTGCATTCTTTTTCAAGAGCAGTATCCTTATTGGATATGACAACATAACTATGAAATTCAAACACACTATTCAGTGGCAGTGTAAACTTTTTTCATGGCAAATGAAGTCACGTACAGAGTGATAAAGGTTGATTACTGGAAGTACTCATTCTGCTATATATATATATATATATATATATATATATATATATATATATATATATATATATATATATATAAATAATAACTGAATGACAAGATTGAAAAAAAGTTCTATGTTACGAAGAATAAAACAATATACGAACACAAAAAGAGTACTTTTATGAATCAACACAGTGCATTAATTGTTCATCATAGTAATTTTGGCTTAATACAGTCAGTAGAAGTCCTTTGTGGGGGAATGAAATGTGTAATGTAGAATTTTTTCGATTTCGTTATATATATATATATATATATATATATATAAAGAAATATAGTTTTAAGATATGCTATATTTATGGGTTAAAGTGCTCAATATCAAAGAGCATATGTAAATATAAAAGTGAACATTGAAGTCAACACTCAGACTGTTTCATGCTAAATACAGTCGTTAGGTCATATATATATATATATATATATATATATGTATGTATGTGTGTGATTATAATTTTGACAATAGGGTGTCATAACTCAATTTCACCAATGTTGCATTTTGCAAGATCAGCAAAATGCAACATTGGTGAAATTGAGACTTCCCTTCTGCAGTTCACTGGGCTGGTCATGTTGCATGGATGAGTTATGACAGAATACCTAAGGTTCTCATATATAGCCAGCTTGACAGTTTAATTTACTAATCATGGCCAGCATGTTGTGGCCATGTTCATAATGAATATCTTTGAAAGTTAACACGCAATGTGTTTGGAAATTGAAATATTCCTATTGCTATAAAAAAAATATCTACATATTCAAACAAATAAAAAAAACATCCTTGATAATGGCTAATAAATTAGACAAACATGTTTAGATCCATAAAACATTTGAACAGTTCTTATGCACTTTGTCCCAAACAGAAATCACTTGTACAAATGCAAGAAAAATATAATGAAAAGCTTAATTGCTGGGTTTTGTCAGTCAGTCATCTTCAATGAAACACACACACACACACACACACACACACACACATATATATATATATATATATATATATATATATATCTCAAAATTAGCTCATTTGGTTATAGCTATTTCACCCCACAAGAACTTACTTGCAGGGATTTTCAATACTGATAAGTAAGAAATAAAATAAATTGGAAGCTTAAAAAATTTTAAGCATTCTTGAACATTCAGGCTGGTAGGTGAAAATAAATATACTGTTTAATAAATAAAATGTGAGTATTCACTAATAATAATGTTTAAAGTGATAAAATATATATATATATATGTGTGTGTGTGTAACTGATAAAATGGGAAAAAAAATCTCTTTAACATGTTTCATCATCTACAAGGACTTCATCAGACTGAAGTAAT